AAAAAATCACTTGACCGTCATCTCTAACCCAAGAAAATCCCAAAAAATCAGTGTGTGGTTCAAAAATTTCAATGAAATGATAAGCACTAGTAATATCAAATTTAATCATAAAGGAACCCTTTTGCAAATACGATAAAGCTATCCTTAAATCTTCAAATTTCACTGATTGCTTCCATAAATGTTTATTCACATTACGAAGATCTAAAATCAATCTCTTTTTACCACTATTCTGAATAGATACAGTTAATGGATTAACAACACGTGGAGGACTAGAACAACGTACAATAAGAGATCTATCTAACAGATCTTTAATGGCACATGAAACAAATTCTGGTTCAGATAAAGCAGATTTATTATTTTTACAAAAAGTAATAGTAGGTGTTGAATAAAATGGAATTTTATAACCAAATTTCAATACGTCTAAAATAAAATCAGACGCGCCTATGTCACGCCAAAATTGAATATTTTTTCTCAGTCTACCTTTAACTATTATACATTTTTGACCTTGTTCATACTCATGAAAGTCATGTGTAAACATAGTATAATCAAATTGATACTCATCTTTATACACAAGTTCATTTTTTGACTGTTGACTGGTTCCCGAGTGATTTGGCTGTGAAAGGGCAGTCTCGTCGGAAATGTCCGAATTCTCCACAGGCGAAACAGGGTCCTGTAGCGGCCGAGCCATAGTTCTCTGAAACGTTAATGAAACGTGGTCCTCTGAGATAGGGGCGAAAAAGACTCCCTCTACCGAATCCTCCGGAAGCAATCCTCGATGATGAACCGTAGAAACCGGGGTTATTACGTACTGGAACAGCAAAATCCATAGAAGTATACCTCGGAGAAGCAGAACGTTTATTGGCGGGAAATTTGCTGCCTTGTTTCTCTTTCTTCCGTTTAAGAGCCTTGTTCTCAGCTCTGTTGATTTTCGCTTCATCATCTTCATCACTCGCAACTGGATTGCTGACATAATTTCTGACCGTGTCCCAGCCTGCCGTACTTGTGTCATCTATTCGGATATGCTTGTTACGTTCTTTAACTAAGCTTATAACCTCTTCTAAAAGTTCACATCTATACTGATATTAGCCGTTTTGTATTCGCCACTTAGCCTGCTTAACTTTTTCGTCAATACTACTATTAAGTTCGTACTGGATTTTGTGTCCTTCAAATTTCCATGTAAAATCTTTCTCTGATTTTAATTTATCTACTTCTAAAGATAAAGATCGTGACTTGCCTTGAACTTCGTCTCTTAACGTTTGAAAATCCTGCCTCTGTGAACACAGTTCATCCAAAACAAGCTGTAGTTGATTATGAAAACCATGAGAGCTGCCTTCTGCTTGCAAGTCAAGACCACGTGGTGAATTGTCCAAGTTTTCTTCTGACATTCCAAGGACATACAAGTTACACACTACACAGTTAATTTAAGCTGATATTGCCTAGTCGATCGTCCAAAGCTGAATGACCAATACTACACATTACTTTAGCACGAAAACTTCGTGCTCAAAACCATGCAATAGGATACTTTATTCGACCAATGGAAAATAATTTTCCTCTAATTCGCTTTCGCTCAACCGTGGAAAATTATATTTACCGTGGGGTTTTCCATTTCAAATCCTAATTTATGAACAGTATTTGATGAGATTTATAACGATGCTGTTAAAAAGGTTAATGAAACTGTAGAATGCTTGGTTTTTAGGCCGACGGCAAAAATATTTTTACATATTTATTTAATGTAACTTTAAATAAGGAAAAAAAACAATATGGAATAGATCAACTATATAAAAAGGATAAATCGTATCCTTCTAGAGTATTTAAAGCAAAACTATGCATATTATGTGAACAAAATCTAAAACAAAGTGTTTGAAGAAAGGATATTTTTGCGCACATTAACAAAACACTTTTTTTTCAAATTAAACTTATGTATGTCCCTCTTTCTAAATTCAATTTTTTCAGCATATAAATAAACACATGATGACGGTGGTTATATAAGAGTAGAGAAAAGGATGGACATATACAAACATATATAAACATTCATCATCAAATCGTGTTAATTATGTCTACCAATATCTGAATGCATCGGCCTCTGATAAGTCATTTAGAGGAAACAATACCTAACATTTAGATATTCAGTAATATAGATAATATATAGAATAATATCTTTTAGATGTTCAGTGATATAAATCATCTCTTATTTACTTTGAAATTGTTCATTTCAGACATCTTAATGTTGTTTTTTTTCAGCTTCAGGTCCAAAAATGTGGAACCCCATTTATCAATAAATCGAAATCATACAATCATACATAACCATGCAGATATATATCATACAGTAAATCATTAAACATTAAATAAAAGGAGACATAAGATTAAATAAAAGGAGCATAAGATTTTCACATTACATTTATATGCTGTGCATTCAAAAAGAAATTGTATGTGCTTCTCCAACAAAGTAACTGTATATCATAATTTCAAAAGTATAAAAATAATAATTTTCTTCCTAATTGGTTCACAAATAAATGCAAAACAAAGATTATAATACAAGGATGACATAACAGCTGTTAACATTATGCTTTACCACTCATATGGTTGCAAGTTAATAGTGATTGAAATGTCATGGTCAGTGTAATATTTGGAGACAATAGATACAATGGACAGACAAGTACAAAAATAATATTTATACATGTCCAATTATTCCTATCTATGTACAATATATGTCCTTCTTCAAATGCAAGTTTATGAGCAGATCGTCCAAAGCCTGTTAGTGATTAACATACAAAAAATAGTTTTCAATATAAAAACCTTTATTTAATATTATAACTTCATAAGTATTAAGTTTGGGCATAGTATCTAAAGTGCGAAAGAATGTGACAATACTGACTATACATGTGTTCTCTTGCTTTACTTTTTTCATATCTACTTTTAAAAATTAATAACACAACAGTCAGGAGGGCTCTCAATAATGTTTTTATAACTTTTGGTCCAATCCTTGTATATTTACATTAATGTAGTTATGTATAATTGTTAATTATTTTTTAAATTATATACATATAATTTCACACACACACACACACACACACGCGCACACGCACGCACGCACACACACACCCATACATACTAAAATATGATTAAACAAAATTGAACTAGAAATGTGTCATCTTACCACGGATGCCCCCGCATGCAGCCAAAATTCAGATGTTATAATATTTAGTTCCAAATTTGTTTGCACAAATTATTTTTTTCATTTTAAGTTCAAAGCCCTTAAAACTTTTCAATGTATACACAAATCATTTTTATACAATGTTCAAAGCACTGAAATAATTCAGTCTTAACCTCTTGTAAATTGCATATTGCATTTTTTTAGCCAAACTAATGGCTACATACATTTCCACAAAAGTATGAGTGCTGAAACTGAAAATTCAAAATTTTTCCAACATTCAGGAATGATAAGTTTGCCCAAAATCGTTGAACCACGACCAAATTCAAACTTAAACTACTTATTCCTAAGATGTATCTATATGTTAAATTTGAGTTGAAAGTGTACAACCATTGGGGAGATAATGAACGGAAACTTAACTTTTTTTTAAATTCAAGAGGGATAACTCTGTCAGCTATCATCAAACCAGGTCCGAATTCGAAATTGTCCAATGCATTCTTATGACATATCCATATCTTTAATTTGAGTTGAATATGTACAACTGTTGGGGAGATAATGAATGGGAAATGAAAATGATAAGTTCAAGGGGCATAACCCTGCCAAAAATCGTCAAACCATGACAAAATACACATCTGACCTGCGCATTTCTTTGACGTATCCATATGTCAAAAATTGAGTTGAATATGTAACACTGTTGGGGAGATAATGAACAGAAACTGTAAATTTCATATTATTTTCAAAGTGAAAGGGGCATTACTCTGCCAAAAATCATTGAACCATGACCAAATTCAAGCTTGGCCTGCGTATTCCATTGACATATCCATATGTCAAATTTGAGTTGAATATGTTATACAGTTGGGGAGATAATGAACAGAAACTGTAAATTTCATATCATTTTCAAAGTGAAAAGGGCATTACTCTGCCAAAAATAATTGAACCATGACCAAATTCGAACTTGGCCTGCGCATTCCATTGATATATCCATATGTCAAATGGAATGGGTGTGTTGTACCGTTGGGGAGATACTGAATGGAAACTGAAAATTTCATAATATTTTCAAAGTTAAAGGGGCATAACTCTGCCAATAATCACCGAACCAAGACCAAATTCAAACTTGACCTGTATTTTCTCATGACATATCCATATGTCAAGTTTGAGTTGAATGTGTGGTACCGTTGGGGTGATAATGAACGGAAACTGAAAATTTCATAATATTTTCAAAGTAAAAGGGGCATAATTCTGCCAAAAATCATCAAACCATGACCAAATTCGAACTTGGCCTGTATTTTCTCATAACATATCTATATGTCAAATTTGAGTTGAATGTGTGCAACCGTTACTAAGATAATGAACGGAAACTGATGATGACGGAATAACAGAATGACGGAGCAGGGTAACACTATATGCCCCGGCCATTATATGGCGGGGGCATAAAAATACACATAATAACTTGAAGGCCACTCATAAGTTTACCTTCGGACAAATCATCCCATAAATAATTGAAACACATATCATATTTAACACTAAAGGCCCTGAGCCAAGTTCAGCTTATCATACATAAGACATATGTATATTTATGTGTAAGGAGAACAAATAAACTTGCAGAAATATCAAGAGGCACCAAGCTAGCCATAGACTGATTAGACAGTTGTATTTGTTGTCTAGCATTTAATATTCAAAATTTGTTTTAAAAAAATGATATAACTTAAATGCGGGACTTTGTTAATCAAATTACTAAAGATTTTACATATACCAATTGAAACAGTATCAAACAAAGAATTTTGATCTAAACAGTATTCAAAACTTGTTTGAATAAAGCCTTATGAACACTAAAAATTTGTCAGTAATGAGCACATAATAAAAATTTACTAAAAGTATTTGTGTACTATCATGTCATAATATACACCAATGTGTTCTTGTCTATTACTCAATTTACATATCATTTGGTTTTATTACATCTATTCAAAGATATATTCCATTTTAAACAATTAGCATGTCGTTAGTCCTAATAAAATTTGCAACCCGTCTACAGTTTATGAAAATAAAACTGTTTCATCAGCCAAAAGTAACAAAACTTGAAATTCATTTACAGATATTACGCCTGCATGGCTATCATTTTTTTTTTATTACCTATCATGAATCAACGATATGAACAACAGGGGAGATACTAGTTTAACTCCACTTTAACTATCAAAATAGTTAAGGTTAACTTAACACCCCAGTTAAATTATCATTAGAGTGGACAAATACTGGTACCTTGGAAGCATTTTATTAAAACACAGAGTATATCTTTATCTCATTTCCATCCAAACCAACAAATAGTTGTTTGGTATCATTACAAAATGCTAAGCATTTTGGGTTAGGTTCTTTGTCCGAAATTAGCTCATGTCGTTCTCTTCCATCAGCTTGCTCTTTGTTTAAATTGACTAAATCTATTTCATGGTAGTATGAATCACAATAGTACAAAAGACCTGTTTTGTCTATCGCCATGCCTGTTACTTCATCTCGACATGAACCTAATTTACCAAGCGTTGTGAAGTTATCACTTGATAATTCTACAATATATTTATTTCTAGTGTTATCCGAAATATATGTCCTTGCTTCATCCTCATAACAGACAACATATTGCGGATATTTGACATCGACACCAACCGATAACAGTAATGAACCATCAAACTTATACCGCTCAACTTTTCTTGTCTCATCATCTGTCTTGACAGTAACAATGACTGTATCATTAGAACTGGTAATCCCATAGCATTTGCCTGAGCATGTTATACGACAATTGTCTTGTTCTCTAGTTAATTTTGAAGTACCGTCGATTGATAGTAATTCAACTATTTTCTGGTCTGGGAGTGTAAACAGCTATTCGACTGTTGTGGAAACACATGTAACATCCCATGGTGCTGATTCATATTTTATTTTTGACACTAATTGATCTTCTTCCATATGAAATAGTTTTAATTTCAAATTGTTATTATCAACCAAAACAATACGTGTTTGCGCTAATAATGCAAGTCCAGTTATGCAACAGTTTTCCTCATCGTCGTCTTCTTTGACGTGCAAACTTCTAACTTTTGTAGCTGATTTTATTACATTAGGTTCTGATTGTATTGACCCAAAACTACTTAGTTGAGACTTCAGGTTATCTAGTTCACCATCCGGCTTGAAATGATATCTAGTAATATTATAATGTTCAATGCATTTTACTTTCGTCAAATCCCGTAAATTTGACTTAATCTTCACCTCGATATTTTTCATTGCAAAGAATAATTGGTTTCCGCTGGATTTCTTCTTTCCGCTTAAGTAAGAACCTGTTGTTCTCATGTCAAATGTTATAGCATCGCATTTATTTTTATACTGCATGATTCTTACTAAATCTTCTTCTCTCATTCTGTTTACTTCTTTAGCAAGTTCTTTATATATACTTTCTATATGATCAATTGCAGAATGTTTCACTTTTAACATTTCAGATTGAGCTTTACTATGGTAAAAGTCAACGGCTTTTAGGCTTGAATTGACACGGTACATTATTTTATCCACTTCGTCGGCTAGTTGTCGCGTTTTACATTCTATTTCGTTTTCCTCTTGTTGAAAGTCGAAAGTATATAGATAATCTTTAATATTTCGAACATCTTCACAGGTCTTATGATTTGTAGCTAAGCATTGCGGACAGCAAAGCTCTTCGTGTGTTACGCAATAATTATCAATCACTTGATCCTCGTGAGCTAGGCATTTTTCTGGCGGATCTGTGTCTGTTGTGTTTGACATACGTTCTAAAGGCATTTCATCCTGCAGTTTAACCAAATGAGATTTTTTTGCTTTTAATTGCTTATGAACAATGTGGCAATTCTGACACAAATATTCATTGCAGTATCGGCAGAAACTTACGGCAGTAGATAATTTATGTTCATCCCCAGTCTTACATGGGTCACAAAATATATCTAATGCTACTTTCCTTTTTTCCGATTTCTTATTTGAAGTCGCCATCAAGCGTATACAGCAGACAATAATTTGATTTCAAGTGCTAATCAACAAGGATATCCAGCAATTTAGAAGGAACTGGTGAGTGGTGAGAGGGCAGTAAGATCTTGACTTCGTTAAGAATTGCTGTATCTAAGAAATGTTATACGATGCGATTGTCTGCTCCTGTTCCATTGCATTTGTTCTGAAAAAACAAAACGCAGTTGTGCAGTTTAAACTTTTGACAAATAAATCATTAATAATAAATTGCTTGTACATTGTCATCCATAATCTTATATTTCTGACAAGCACTTGATATCCGACTGCTGTAAGTCGACAGAAATTGCCTAAATTGTGTCTATATTTGGGAAAACCTTATTCTGTTTATAAACAGGGTATGATGATAAAAGAGCTACATGTATTCATCAATTTTGCATTAAAACATGAAGGCTACAGATACATTTTTGATATCTAAAAAAATTCTTAAAATTTTCAATATCTATTGTACAATACTCATTTTTTTTTTTTCTGAGCTAATTATTTGTTAGATTTCTTGTAATTTTCAAAACACTTTATTGATCTATTTAAAAATGATTAATAGTAAATATTTGCGTTCAAAACAATTATACAATTATGCAACAAATTGTAGCTTCTGCCCCATTTCTCTCCACCCCGGATGTGACCTTTAGATTATTAAAACTCTGGTAAATGCCCCTCTTGCAGAAACAATCAGATACCCACACACTTCGAGTTTGTAAAATCCCCAAAGTTTTTCCTTCAAAGGAATCTACAGTGACGATTGACCTACATAGACAATTTCAGAATTTTTTACAGTTTCTAAGCGTAGGTAAGACCGAAATACAGTATACATGTAGTTAACTGTTTCATGAATTAAATTTAGGTAAATACTTAGACAAGCTGATACCTTCTGATGTTGTAACCAAGGCTGCCTTAGAATTAACAAAATTACACACTAAATACGTATTGAAATGATTGAAACTTATATTTTTTTAGAATCATACAATTGAACGAAAAAAAGATGCCAAAAGCACTAATTAACCGGTTAAACATCTCTTTACGTGAATTCCTGAATTTATTTGTCTGGTTTGACTTTTATGATTAATGTCTACAGAGATTAAGGGTTGCATACATAAATTTAAGTAATTTTACAAATCTATTAAAGGTAGCAAAGTAATCCATTGATTGCTTCAAAATCAAGATAAACTAGAACTGCCACTGTCATGGCATGAATACCCCACTTTGTCAGAATCAACAGTGGTCGTTAAGAGCTCAAGGATTACCTCCCTGCCAAATCTGAGTACATTGCTAAGTTACGTTTTCTACGTGTTTTTAGTGGAAAAGATCAAAGTGACCTTTACCTTTGATCTGCTGATCTCAAAATGAATAGGCCCATGTGACCTTGACATTTGATCCAGTGACCTCAAAATAAATAGGGGTCATCTAATAATTATGACTCACCTCAATATTAAATATAAAGACTGTGGGTCAAATGATTCTTATGTTATTGGGCGGACAAACTTTTTTGCCCATGTTCTCTGTGACCTTGACCTTTGACCTAGTGTCCTAAAAATCAATAGGGGTAAACAACTTGGCATAACCAAACTTTGTACCAAATATGAAGACTGTTGACTAAAAGATTCTTAAATAATTGAACGGACAAGCTTTTTAAACTTAAGGCCCTTGTGACCTTGACCTTTGATCCAGTGACATGAAAATCAAAAAAGGGCCTCTAAATGGTCGTGACTAACATCAATGTAAAATTTGATGACTGTTGGTCAAAGAATTTTTAAGTTATTGAACTGACAAGCGTTTTGACGTCAAGGCCCTTGTGACCATGACCTTTGAGCCAGTGACCCCAAAACTGTAGGGTCATTTAATGGTCATGACTAACCTCCATGCCAAATATGAAGGTTTCTTAAGTTATTGGGCGGACAAGCGTTTTAAACTAAAGGCCCCTATGACCCTGACCTCTGACCTCGAAATCAAAAGGGGTCATCTACAAGGCATAACCAACCTGAATTCCAAATATGAAGATTGTCGAACAAAGCATTCTAAAGCAATTGAGCGGACAAGCTTTATGAACTAAGGCGCCTATGACCTTGACTTTTGACCCGGCGACTTAAGTTATTAGGCGGACACTTTTTTTTCAAGGCACCTGTGACCTAAACCTTTGACCTAGTGACCTCAAAATCAATAGGGGTCATCTACTAATCATGCCCTATCTCAATACTAAATATTAAGACGGCCGGTCGGACAAGTTGATTCCAGTATTCCCCCTTTACAACATTGTTGTGCGGGGAAAACTTAAAAACACTTATTTTTTGTCACTTTCGACAAACCTTTTATTTCCAGGACCGATTTATATAGTAAGTATTATATCAATAATCGAGGCTTACATTATTTTTACTGTTGTACAGCTACTTTTTAAACGCTAAGAATGAATTACATTGTTGACTTCCTGTAAATGAACCGGTTACCAGCTTGACGTTTACATTTTCGAAGTACGGGTTATCTTTTTCCAACGGTTTATTCTTTGGGTAAAGGGGGGTTGGGGCGCTTGATTTATTGTGAGCACATTCAGTAATGCCCTTTAAACCCCCCGGGTGTTTAAATTTGGAAACCCCATTTTTAAAAAGGTACTAAAAAAGAAAATTTAGTATTAAAAAAGGGTTAACCCGGAAAAAATTTTGTAGTTTTTTTAAAGTGTTGGGGGTGTGGATTTTTTTTTTTAACATTTTTCCCCAATTTTAATGTTTTAATTTCCCTGTAAATTTTGTGTTAAAAGCAAAATTCGCTAAAAGACATGGATCCCCAGCCCACCCTTCACCCTTTTAGCAAAAACAGGGGTTTTCCCAAATCCGTAAAAAACCGCATGCATTGAAATGCCCAAATCTAAATTTTGGAAATTAAAATTTTGAAGGCGATTTTTTTTTTCCCGAAAAAGGTTTAAATTTTAAGTCTTTTTAACAATTTTTTCAAACTCTTTGTCCCGTAAAAATAGAAAGGCAAAATAATGAAAAAGGGGAATGTTTACTTTGGGTTTTTTAAAATTTTTCCTATTTTTACCATAAAAAAGGCCCCCATCATTAGAAATTGTCTTTTTTTTTTAAAAAAAAAAAGCAAAATTCCCTTTGGAAGTAAAACACGTAAAAAGGATTCTTTCCCTTTTTTGCAAATTTTTGAAAGTGAAGAAATTTTTGGCCAAAATTTTGGGAACTTTTTTAGGAATTTCTTTTCATGTTTTGTAAATTTTGCAAAAAAAATTGTTTTTACTAATTTTTTTTTTTGTGGGGATTGTTTCTTTTTTAAAATTTTACAAAAAGGGTCTTTCCCCCTTTCCCCAAAACCAAACCTCGTTGTTTTTTTCCTTTTAAATGCCATCGCACGTTTACCCCCAGAACCGTAACGTAAAATTTGTGATAGCAAAAAAAATGAAATAAAAAAAGACTTTTATATTTTTCCCCCTTAATTTTTTTTTAAAAAGTTTTTAATTAAAACAAAAAGCCAGTAAAACATGGCCATCCCCCGCCAAATTTTGTTTGTTTTTTTGGGAAAAAATGTATTTGTGAAAGAGTAACCTTTTAAAAGGGGTTTTTTTGGGTAATAAAAATGAGGGCCCTTTATGTTAAAATTTTTAAAACCAAATGTAAATTTGATGGTAAAAGTAAAAAAGGAAAAATTTGAAAAAAAATGCAGGGTGGGTTTACATTTTTTGTTGCTACACCCCTCCTCAGAAAATTTTTCCCCCTATAAAATTTTAAGTTTGATCCCTAAATTTTTTTTTGAAAAAAAAATTAAATTTAAAAAATTAAGTATAAAAAATTTTAAAAGGGGCAATAACTAAAAAATTAAAAAAGGTTAAAATTATCATTTTGTACATTTGCACACCCCTGATTTAAATTTTTGCACCTATGAAGTTTCATAATGATATTCGGGGGGCCTTTTAAGTTATCTTTTGGAAAAAAATTAAAATTTTGGAAAAAAAAAAAGGGGCCAATAAAAAAAATTACGGGGTAGATTTATCATTTTTGTGCACTGCCCTTTCCTCAAGGGAAAATTTTCCCTTAATTTTAATTTGATCTCAAACTTTTTTGGAAAACCCCGGAAAAAAAAGTTAAAAGAAAAATTTTTAAATAAAAAATTAAACCAGGAAGAGTTTCTTTCTTGTGAAAGCTTTCCTTTTAAAAAGTTTATCCACTATGCATTTGTTAATTCAAACTTGGGGTTATGCTCCACTCGGGTAAATTTTTGGGTATGAAAAAATAAAAAAGGGAAAATTATTTAAAAAATTATGAAAGGTTTTATATTTCTTTGCTGAAACCCCTTTTGATTTGAGATCATGACCTTAAATTTCTTTTGATTTTCTAAAAGGCTTTTTAAATTTAAATGTCTGGAAAAAAATTAAATTTTTTTGAAAATAAAAAAAGGGGCAATAACTAAAAAATTAAATGAAAGGGAAGATTTACCCTTCCCTTTGCCTGCATTTTCCTTCAAGAGAACATCACTTGAAGTTTCAAGTTGTTCCTCAAAGGGGCTTTTTGGAAAAAGCTCTGGAAAAATGGAAATGAAAAAGAACAAAGGGAAAATTAAAAAATTGTAAAGGGAAAGAGTTATATTTTGGCCCCCTTCCCCCTCAATAATTTTTCCCCCTTAACTTTCATGTTGATATGTCAAACCCTTTTTGGTTATGCCCCCCAGGGAAAAATTAAGAATGAAAAATAAAAAAAGGGAAAATAACTCAAAATTTAAAATGAAAGGAGAGTTTCATTTTTGTGCACTAAAAACCCCTGATGGACCCTGCCCCTTTAAATTTCATGTTGTATTCCATGGGTTTTGGAAATTAGGGCTTGGAAAAAAATAAATTTTTTGAAAAAAAAAAGGGGCAAAAATAAAAAAATTTCCCGGGGAAAAAAAGGTTATAATTCCCTAAAATAGGTCTATCCTTAAAGTTTCAAGTTGTTCCCAAATATTTTAGAATATGCTGGACAAAATGTGGGAAAGGGGGACGGACGGAGGGAAAGGGTCGGTCGGAGGGACAGACGGAGACTATTTCATACCCCCGCCCCCTTTTACGGGGGGGGAATAAAACCCATTGGGGTTTTGTGATGATTTTGAGCTGTGTTTTAATTTGCCAATTGAAAAAATTTAAAATTTATAAAAATAGATTTTAGATTATTACC